CACATTGCCCTCTGCAATAGTTACTTTACCATATATTCCCCTCAATATGAAAATCCCTGTGTTGCATACCCCTCAGTAGCCCAAGACATTAAGACTGTTTTAAACATAGCCCATCTCATGAGCAGATGTGAAATATTTTATTGCTTTAATTTGCAATTACTTAATTAGGAGAAAGGGTAAGAATTTTGTTATTTTTTCCTTGGCTATCTGTATATCTGTATTTCCTTTCCAGTGACCCTTTGAAGGATTGCCAGTCTGCTTAGAATTTAAAAGAAGATTGACACTTTGCCATTTTTATAAGCAAATCTAAAAATCATCAAATTGCCTCCACTTCCAGCCAAGCACCAGCACTAAAGCACCAGTTGGCATTATAGGGTCACCGAATGGTGCTGCTCTGGACATGTCTCACTACCCAGGGCTTCAGGCTCCACAGCACTGGTGAGAAGGACGTATTCTGCACGTCTTACAGATCACAGTTCAGTGAAGTCAGGCCTCTTCTTGCTTACGTGTACCAAGCCAGCATGCTTGGCGTCCGCTGTCTAAAGCCTCAGGCCTCCACTCCAGCCTGACCTGTACAAGACAGCTCTCTCTCTAGATCAGTGCAAACTAGGGCCAGGATCTTCTCCCAAGCAGCAGCTGCTGCAGAGTGAGATGTTTGAAAAGAGCAGCACAGTGTCCTAATTACCTGTGGCAAAGAAAACATCTGTGTGGGAAAAGTAATGAAATTAATGCTAACATCTAGCAGTTGCATATATTAATTGACGTTAATTAATGTCAAATTACAAAATACTTCCTATGGAATCACATCATACCCTCACCAGAATTGAATATGGAAAGAGTTCATCATCCTTAATGCTATTACAGCAAGCCCCACGGGGAATAAAAGTGATTGGTCCCTCATTATGAAGTACAGCCAATTTCTTTCTGTTTCCATTAGGAGGAGAGAGGGAACAAACCAGGAGCACTTTACCATGGCAGGCTGTTCAAAATTGATCATTTACCCTTCAACTTGCAAATTTCACTTTGAGCCACTCTGAGCAAGAAATGGTTTCAAGACCTGTTCCTGGGGCTTTCTGGTGTCACCCCGTGATATATTTTGTAATGTTCAGCCCAAGGACAGGCTCGATGAGCAGCATGCTAGAAAAAGACAGGGACCAGCAGAGGAATTAGAAATGATGTGAGCAAGCACACCCTGCCCTTCCCCCTGAGAGGCGCCCACCCAGGATTTGGGTCCCGCATTTCTGCCTCCACACGATTGTGGACATATGACATACATATTTTATTCATTTCCCCAGGCAAACATATATAGACTTCTAGATATGTATCTACAACGTGCACACAACCAGGTCCATGTGCACAACTTGTGGTAACCTACTTTTCAAAAACTTGTTTTGGAATCATTTTAGATAACAGTAAAGTCACCACACTAATACAACTTCCCCTAAGTTAACATCTTATACAACCACGATCCATTTCTCAAATTTAAAAATTACCATTGGTACAATATCACTGATGATACTCTTATTATATAAATATATTAAACCTTTCTGTAAATTGTCACACTCTTTAGAAGTACAATTTTAATAGCAAGCTGGGTATGTTTCAAAATTTGTTTTGTTTTTCCTCCATTGTTGCTATTTCATTTTCTCTGTTATTTTATTATTTTAAGCAGCACTGATGAATAATAATTTCCTAAGGCAGAATTCTCAGAAATGAACCTGAGGTCAAACTATCTAAATTTTAAGGCTCGTGAGTTATAGTTCCAAATTACCCCACTACAGAAGATTTTTTTCTGTAGCTAGGTATATCTGTTGAAACTTAGATTGATGTCAAAATACATTTAACAATAATTGACCCCAAACTTACTCAAGTTTTTCGTGCAAAATAGACTAGTGGAAATAAGCAACCACTAAGCCAATTAAGTTTGAAACCCATACTGCCAGTTTTATAAATTACTGTATCTTCGCTTCATTCTCTTTATTTGTAAAATCATTTGAAACAGTATATTTTTAGTATTGGGAAGATTAAATATACTAAATAAATGTGAACATACTTTAGAGCATGCAGCTATTCAAGTAAAGGCTAGTTACCCAGTTCTTTTCTTCCCAAACCTCCAAGGTTCATGTTTTCTGTATAGCTGAGTTATAAATACGAAAAGTATATTTTTGTATTTTCCATCTAATGCTTGTTCAGGGATCTTTGAAGAGGAGGTTGAGGTGAAGTCTTAATAAAGAAACTCATATACCTCATTATAATTAAAATAAGCAATATGTATTTATCAAGAAATCCTCATTAGAAGGCAATCCTAGAAATTCTAATTGGAAGTAGTATGTGTAATTTGAAGCCTAAGACCTCTTAATAAGGAACCTTTGATTCAATTTTGTTAATCATTGTTTTTGTTCATTATCTTACCTAACAAGAAGTACAAAGGACAACTCTAGGCTCAGTACAATCAGACTCCATGATGTCATCTGGAAACAGGTTCTTTCTAGTTCACTTTTCATATTCATTGTTTAAGCTTAATTATAGATTAGCTCTTCGCAGACCAAAAAGACCAGAGCTGTCCCAACCAACACATTGAAAATATAGTCTTCTACAGAGACAAAAGAGGGTCTTTTGCTACATCACTGGGAGCCTCCCTGCAGGCCCTTCAAAGAGCTCTCTTTCCTCTAGGAAAGGGCTTGTAAACCCTTTCCTAAACCAGTCCATGGCCAGAAGAATAAAAGGACCTTGAATAGGCATAAAGCAAAAGGGATTAATCTGCATTCGGAACTACATGGAAGAAGTTCCGGTATTGACTCTTTGGAAAAAATGGGTATTGGATAAGTCACCAACAGTAACTCAATTCCATTGAATCAGTCTCATTTAAGGACCCAGTATTATGCCCAAAATTGTACTCATTGGGAGAACTAGCAAACAAAAAACAAGGACAATATTGTATTACCTATAGCAACTGTCATTTATAAAAATTTGAGTTTGATTACCATTTAGCATCTATAATTCCAGTGACACTTTTACTACCAGACTATAAGAGTTGATGTTGGCATCTGTGTTTCATGGTTGTGAGGTTGGCAAACTCAGGAAGAAGAAGTGATTTCCTTGAGCGACGCAGGGACAACATGAGCTGAACCCTACCCAGCACTCATGGACTTCTGTCCTTGTTTCAAAGACCCCATGCCTCATTTTGAAAAGCAAAAGTCAACTAAAGATTGTGGATTCTGGTGCAGGGTGAAATTGTAAGGTAAATATTTTACATCCTGTGGAAAGTATTCTTGGAAGGGCTGAGTCCCAGAGGATTCCTTCAAGGAGAATGATTGAAAGTCATGCCTTAAAACTGTGAAACTGACACTATGAAAATGTTAGGAAAAAAATAAATAAAAGAAATAGAGAAGGGTGATAAGAAGGGTCTTCTTTAGTTTATCACTGGAGGCGATTTCATTAGGATCAGACTGGTAAAAGTGCTTGAGCACTGTGCATGCCCACAGATGGCAAGGAGGTAAGTGTGACTGGATTAAACTTTCCTCCCCCTGTCTCCTGAGGGCTTATGAGCAGCATGTTATTGGTCACCTAGACCTAATGTCCATCGTGCCCCTTAGCAGTAATACTCATTGAATACAGGCTTTCCCATGGTCCCTGAGTAAAGGTGCCTCTGGAAATTTCCTTAAGAGAAGTCATTAGTGAATCCTTATACCCACCAATCTTGCTATTGCCTACTCCCATTTCATATAATTATGTTCTCTTTTTCATTTGGAAGAATGGAGTCCTGTGTGAATCTCCGATGTCCTAAAATCAAACTCACTCATTTGTTGAACATCAAAAAAAAAAAAGTAAAATAACTTCATTTTTTATTGTAAAAGCTGTGCTCCAATGACAAGACATTTTCTGACAACTATTAACTGATTATGTACTCTGTACTAGGAATGGTGTTCAAATCTGGGCCTGCATTAGTGAATAATAACAATGAAAAAAAGATCTCTTCTTCATACAGGTTGTATTCTGAGGTAGGCAGCAAAAATAAATAATAAGCAAGGTAATTTTTGATCATGATGAGTTCTCTGAAGGAAATGGACAGGATGGTGTGTTATCAAACGTAATCATGGAAAACCCTGAGAAGTAATAGTGAGCCGAAATCCAAACCAGAAACTCCGTTGGGAACAGCCTGAGGAGAAGCATTTTAGGGAGAAGATAAACGCATCCAAGTGGTAGAGAATTTTGCCAAGTTTCTGAACATAAAGTGGAAGATGAGAAAGAAGAATCACAGAGAGAAGAGATTGGCCTGAGGGGAGGATGGAGTGTGGGGTGGTGGAAGGCTTGAACTTATTCTCTATGCTTTTAGGCAAGGGCAGTTTGAGTAACAACTTGAGGTCTGGTCGGTACAGAAGTCAGGATAGTTGTGTGAGAAGCAGGTGCAGGAGCCCGTAGGAGGAGCGGAAGTGGTCATTTCCAGAAGGGAATTAACAGAGAGCTGGCAAAGTCTTAATATGCCGACTTAGGAAACGTGAGCCATCACCCTCTTACTTAGTGATTTCCTCTACTCTGTTTCACTTCTAATTAGTGGTAGAAGGAAAACTTTTATCAGCCACTCTAGTGTGAGAAGATTGGAGCTTGCATGTTTACCTGCTTCCTGTTTGTCAGTCCAAGAGCAAAACGTGGAGAGGCGTTTGTCTATTACCGTGGAAAAAAATAAGCATGAAGTCACAATTCTTGTTGCCAGATTTTAAAAACATATTCATTTGGGTTGGAAGGGGGAAATTAATTGAAGAGAATTTAGTATTTTAAGATGGCAAGAATAGATAGAAGCATGGGAAATAGTGGCGATTGTATTGCTAGAAAGTGCTGATAGTAGTACTAACTTTATCAATTTTATCAGGAACAGGAAACAATGTAGTGATCAAAAATGTAAGGTTTGTTTTGCAACCCGAGACAGGGAGGGAGACAGGCCATCTCGCTCACAAGCTGACACCCTGGCACACAGCCCACGCTGCTGTTTGGTTTTTCAGATTCGCAGTACCTGACATGCCGAATGCAGAACTGCACAGAGGCCAACAGACACAGGCCCTTCCCCGGCTACATTGACCCTGACTCTTTGATTGTCCAGGACGATTATGTGTTTGTTCAGGTAGGAAAGATCTGCGTCTATTGATTGTCTCAAAGACATTCTCTCGGGTTCCTCTCTCTAATGCAGCCCCTTTTGCTTACACTCCTCTACGAGTATAAAGGAGAGAAAGAACAAAGCGATGATCTTTGCAACAACAGGAGCATTGCCAAGTGAGGAAGCTACTGCAGGATATTCATTTCGTTCTTCTGGGTGGTGACTGAAGGACTTTATGAGCTCGGATCACAGGGGGCTAGAGTGTAATGGCGTTCCCTAGTGAGCTGGGCACTGCCATCAGTCCACTGCCCAGTCTGCTTTCTGTGGAAGCCCTAGCTGTCCTATGGAGGGGATGAGCTGATATGACAAGCTTTTCCTAGCAGGAGACGGGTCAGCCAATCAGCCTGCTTAAAAATAAGTGGGAATGGGAAGCTGTAGGTGGCTTGAGATGGTGGGGGCAGAGGTGACTGGTGCTGTAATCAGCCTTTATTGTCATGCACTCTTTGTGATTAGGATAAAGAGGATTTAGATGAGGTGACTTCTTTCAGTGTTTTCACCTCCAAAGAGAATGGGAAAGCATCCAAAAAGCTCCTGTTTCCTGAGTGACTGAATTCCTCAGGTGTGCTTTGCTGCTTTTCAGCATATAAGGACAATTTTAGGTTTATTTGGATTATGCATTTAAAGATTCAATAATTTCCCTCCATTTTAAAAAGTGGAGAGGTTTAAAAATGACAAAGGTACGATTGCTAAGAATTTTATAAATAGAATTTCACTTATGACTGGGATAAAAATCTAAACACTATATAGTTATCTGGACAACAATTATAATTTAGGATATCTAATTCCATGTTTTGAGGGAGCGAATGTTCAACTGCTTAACATCAGCCTGTGTACTTATAACATGTTTCAAAAAAGATCACACAAACACACATAAACATTTCCTTTTTCTTCAAGGAGATAAGTCATGGATACACTGATAAAGTCAGCCTCAAAATAGGAAGTGACATTAAAACTGAAAATGTTTACATTTAGTTCTACCTTTGATATATTTTTCTATCAGTATTGCTACCAGGAAGAATTCCTGGTTTCTAATATACAGCCCTCGTAAGTGCCTTACAAATGAGAATCAGTTCTGTGTTTTTCTTTTTTTTTATAACAGTTCTGTGTTTGCATAGACTTTCTATTCACACCTCTGTGAATATTATCATGTGACCCACTGCTAGGACAAAGAAGTAATCTCACCACATACAGGTGAATAGGATAACTTTCCAGTTTTTTCCACATTTCCAAAAGGTTGATGAACTCCAGATATTTATAGCGGAGAAGAGTAGCTATATTAAATGCTAGACGTGGAAAAAGGGACTTGCAGGATTAGAGAAATGGGGAGATTTGGTCCAAGAGAACAAACTTCCACTGTAAGAGAATATTTCCTAGACTTAGTATATAGCCTGGCAACTCTAATTAATAAGCTGTATTATATACTTGAAAGTTCTTAAGAGAGTAATCATTAATGCTACCATCACATACACACACACAATCAAGGAAGGAGTCTACTGTGAACTTTCTTAGAACCATTTCATAATATGCACATGCACCATGTACCAAATTGTCACATTGTACAGCTGACCCTTGTACACGCTGTCTGTGAATAATGTCTCCACGCAGCGGTGTAAGAAGAATACCTACGCAGAAGAGAGTCTTGGGGGGGGGGGGAGGCCCAGGACCCTCTGCACTGTTGGTGTTCAGGTTGGGGTGAGACCACCCCCTTACCCCCAGAGGGTTCTTTGAATTGTGGTCCTGGACCGACCAACCTTGAGGCGAGGGGGGCTGGCTCACAAATCTCTTCGGGCAAAAAAGATAAAAAATGCCTGTGTATCATACTCCTGCCTTGAATTTCCTTCTGATGCGTTAACTGCTCTGCTCCGTGTGGACATGGCTGCCATGCTGAATGTGGCAGCACCTGGCATGAGGGTGATGTCTCTGGAATTGGGGTTCCAGAGACGGAAAGTGCCTGTGCTGCTCCTGTTCGACCTGAGCTCGCTCTCTTTGGGTTGACATGGGGACCTGGGTCAGGTAGATGGACGCTGATGACCTCCATCCTTATATCCCAAGACCGTTATCATTAACAAAGGAAAAGTGTTTCCTGGCTTCTGAAAGCCAACTGAAGCCTGGTGTTTTCATCTAGTAGCTTCCGCGGGTCCCAGACCCGATCAAACGCACTGCATAAGCTGTGGTCGAGCTAAAAGCCGGTTTTTGCACTTGTCCACGGTGTCATTCCTGCGGCCAGTTGGCAGTCTCCCCTCCACTCAGTGTCTGTTCTGTGACCTGTATCTGCCGCGCCAGCCCCTCTTACAGCCCTTGTGTCTCTGGCCAGCTGACGTCGGGAGGACGGCCGCACTACTACACGTCCTTCCGGAGGAATGCCTTTGCCCAAATGAAGCTACCCAAATACGCTTTGCCTAAGGTATGGCCTGAGTCGTCTTCATTTCATTTTATCACTTCCTGAGTCTCATGTTTGCACCTCCACCCACTCCTAAGTCTGCTTTCATTTTCCCAGACTTTTATTTCTTTTCCTCCTGCATCTCTGTGTCTCGAGTTCACTTTCTATCGTTGCCAGTCTCCAGTCTCCTTACTTACAACTCTCTTTCCACTCTCTCACACCCTGTTTCTTTCTGTGTCTAACTGACACCACAGGTATTGGATCATCTGAATAAGCTGACAATTGATTTGCTTTTGATTTTCAAAAAGAAAAAAAAAAAAGCCTTTAACAGTAGTGTTATATTCTTCCCAACACAAAAGCATACTTTCGATGCAAGGTATGTCAATGTAATGGGTGCTATTCATTTCTGTTCCATTTTATTGCTGTCAATTGTTTAGTGAAAGGTGATCCAGCCCTATGACATCCCACCTTTACTGTCTCACTGGATGACACGGATTGCCTTTATAGTCTGATCCGCAGAATTCTAATTTATTTAGATTTTCCCAAGGACACACTCCTTTGAAAATAGTGGTGGACGAAAAAAGACCCTCAAATGCAGGAGTCTCTGGCTGTTTTTTTTTTCATAAATACTGAAGGAACTGCGTTAATATGGAGCGCCACCTAGTGGCGCTAAGGCTGATTTTGTGACTGCGGTAAGCTGGAGATGCGCTTACTGCCGCTGTGATGTTTTAAATAGCCAGAGATTGTAAAGGTGTTGTGCCTTGCTTTTCAAGCAAGGAAGATGGAAGTGGCTGAAAGGGGATTGCGAGTTTTTAGTAGCTTTATAGCTCAGCTTTGAAACCTTAGGGTTAAACAAAGAACATAAAGAACTTTCTTTGATTGCATTTCCATGACACTTTCCTTTGCATTCTTTGCCCTTGGCTGTAGAAGATAGTATGCTATCCAGGACCAGCGCTAATTTGCCACCTGGGAAATCATGTGATAGATATAGCACAAGGACAGTGCATGCCCCCCTTCCCAGAGAGCCAGGGTAGCCAGTGGCACTGCCTTTTCCAAGCCAAATTATCCTTCGTAGGCACCACTCTGTTTCTAACGACAGCAAAGTGAAAGGTGGGCTGTAAACCTCAGTCCATTAGAGATAATGGCACACGTTAAATTGCACTATTAACTCCAAAGAACTATATGCATGTTAGTAGTTATTATTATTTTCAGCTGCTAAGAGATTAATGATAGTGGTAATTGCCCAGAACTATATGTCTCTACATGTATATTTTTAATGTTCCTTATTCTGGGTTTGATTTAAAGTATTTTCCAAAAGGAAAGGAACTTAAAGCATATGGGAACGGTGCCTTAGATGGGAATGGGATAAAGTCAATATGTAGATAGGATATTGAGTGTGTTAAAATTACCCTTGATAACCTCTTAGGAAGGTTTAAGAGGCAGATGAATAGAAGATGTTACCTAGTTCAATCCAACAGAGCTTACTTTTCTCTTGAACCCTGAAATAAATCGATGTCCCTTTTATTGAAATTGGTTCCTTCTAAGATTTATAATTAAAAAAAAAAATAATTATATTCCATGCAGTGAGATACCCTTGCTCAAGAAGCATGTGGGGATTGAAACCAAATCAGGAGAGAGCAGATTTGCTCACTTATCTCTTGGACTATATGTTTTGAATGGGATGATCTTGGTCAAAGCAACAGCTATTTGCAGCAGAACTGAGGCTGGACCTCAAGTCTCCTGACACCCTAACTAGCAGTCTGTATCTTACACTTCTCTCTCCTGGAAAATTTCTGAAAGTGTATATAATTGAAAGAAAGTAGCATGTCCTCCACCCAATTTTAATATACCAAATTGCCTCCAGGGACAAATCCCCAGTGACCCAAGCATCCCCAGAAATGGTCGTTTAATATTAAAGAAGCATCTTCGGCACTATCGCTGAACTGTTAGGAAACACACCTTAGACTGCTTGGTCACTGTTGACAACACCTTCGTCCGCCCAGGCATCTGGCCCATCTGGAAAGCAAGGTCTTACTCTGAAGCTACACCCACTATCGCTCCCTTCCCCATGCTCTCCCAGATGACTATGTTCCATCACTCAGTCTCATTTGAGTTGTGAAGGTAGAACACAGCCATTAGAGTATCCCCAGGAAAACGGCAGCCAGTACAGGAAGAGGAAATATTTAGCCCAAGTGGGTATTTGTTATTTAAGGCAATGAGCTGCCTCATTACAACCCCATTATACCTTCAAAGAAAAGCACCACCTGGGCAGAGCAACCTGTGGCAAAGGTGCATGTATCTCATGGCCTTTTGTCAAAGCCAGGGCTGTGGTGGCTGGACAAGAACAAAGCTCCAGATCTACCAAAGAAGGCAAAGCAGTACTTTTGTGCTCAAATTTTCCTTAATCATCTACTGCCATTGTACCAGATCTAGAGAGACTATGTTAATTCTGAGTGTGTGTGTGTGTGTACATATACAGATAGAGATAGATAGATAGATAGATAGATAGATAGATAGATAGATAGATAGATAGATAGATAGATAGATAGATA